AACATAGACTTATCATGTTTTATTCATGTGATTTTTGTATGCGTAATAAAATACGTACGTAAAACGTCACAGGAGGCCGGATCGATTGTGGGATGACAGGCGTATGAAAATGATGGCACGTAGGCCGCGGAATATTTCCCATAAGTAGCCAGTGCGACGTAAACGGAGCCAACTCCGGTGTACGCGCTGAACACTCGCCTTATCGGAGAGGAAATCACCGGATTCGCTACCTATTGGACAAAATTTTTTTCACATTAAAATTGTAAGCCTCGATTTACATGCATTCATTTGATATCTGAAAATGTTTGAATATATTACGCGAGTGCACGTTTGATTAATTATGTACATGAAATTGTTATCAATAATAATAATTTAATATCATGTTTCATTGTTACTTTTGGCATACAATGTTGGATTAATCAACTAATTAATGATTAATCAAAAGTATACTTTATTTGTAAGTGTAATTACAATAGTATTATAATAAAATTGTATAATTCTGTTTAACGATTTAATAAAACTATTTTAAACCTTTAATTGTACTTCGTCCTTTAAATCGACTAACTTTTGCATACATGTTTTGCGTGGATAGTTAAAGTAATTGTTAAAAATTAAAGTGTTCAGTTAATCAAAACGAATACCGTTCATCGAAGGAAAAATTATTTTTCTTCCTAATCTAGTATTCAAGATGGCAGTTATTTACAATTCGACCAGTGGAATAAACATGTTTTCGAAGGTTTGAAAGTAAATTTCGCTCAAACATATTACAGCAACCGAATGAATTAATCGGATCGTTAAATTGACAGTTGGGCATGAATTTTTGCTGTTGCTGTGTCGTTAATCATAAAAAAGTCCAGATTCTTCTTGCACATAATTTTTATGCAGTTAACCGTCATTATCCTCTTAGAAGAAAAGTACATCACTAAACTTTTCTCTATGAATAAATTAAAGAATGAATAAAAAGGAAACATTGAAAAAATAAGAATCAAAAAGAGATTTCTGAAAACTAACTTTCATATGTAAGTCATAAAAATTTTGGCAATAAATAAACCCTTGACACCACTGATAATATCGAATATGCTACATAGAATTAATTTCCAATCTGATTGCAACTTAAACATAATTTATTCCTGATTAAATATTATTTATTCCATCGATACAATATAACCAAACCCTAGAATCAAATTGGACAACACTTCCATATTTGCAGTTTCAGAAATATATGCAATATAATAAATAAATCACTGAATAGGAGTTGAAAATCTTCCAGTAAGTACCTTTACTCCGTTTTCCTTAATATCCGTAACAGTCAGCATGCTTGTGATAGCCGTAAAATAACTATTGATACTGAAGTCCTGCTCATTCAAGAATATCTGATACATCTCGACTTCCACAGGGTTTTTTTCGCAAGTGAGCTTTGCGCTGTCGTTCAACGGTACCGAGGCGGGTTGCACGTCGACGATCACCATCGTGTCGAGTGTCTGCACGCTCGCGTACGGCGCGATCTCTGTATTGAATTCCATGTTGCATCCACCCGGTATGGGTGCTGCGGAGAGAACAATGAACTGATGGACAGGATTGATCGTTCTTTGCAATGGGAAATTTATTATCGAACCCGCTTCGTGTCTGTATACGAAACGGAACAGACGACGATATACAGGCTGGGCCGTTAACTATTATCACTTTAGAGGTCGCGATTGCAGGAAATACGTTCCACCAACTTTAGATCATGCCATATCAGATAGTTGGAGTTGTTAGAAATGGTGTTCAAAATGTTTTAAGTGTGGGAAAAATCGGTGCATCTGGTTTTAACGATTCTAATTACATCTTTTAATTTTTGTGTATGTAAAGTCTATGAAGATAAATATGTTTTATATTCATATATTTAATATATTAATTTTCCTTAGATGCCACTTAATTTTACTAAAGTATTTTATCTTCGATATGCGAAGAAACATTATTTCTATTAATATGTACTATGTTATTTGTAGTATCTGGGTCTCGCATATAATTTTCAATTCATGTGGAGGTGTTAAGGAGGAACAATGATTACACAGGTGTTCTCACATGTTATAATCCGATCTTTTTTAATAAGGTGAATATCATTTCATCATATTATGCAAGTAAACCTATAGGAATTTCATGAGAGAAATTTCTTTATACATTGGCTACGAGAAAAATATATCAGATAATAAAATTAGGATAAATTTCACAGCCCGTATAATATTAAATGCTGAAACATGAAAATATCACAAAGTAGTCAATAATTAATAAAAAGAAAATGCCAAATTGGAATCTACTTAATACAACTGTACTACATAGGATATCAAGTACATCAGGATAAAATAACGCAAGGTGTGAGGGTCGCTTTTATCGAATACGTTCCTTTCTTTGTGGCGTGATACTCTATAGACGAGTACGAGGACTAAGGAGTGTAGAGTCATTGAAAGCCATTTTTAATCTCTTTGTATCGCACCAGTGTGGTGCACGTACTGATGATGTGCGAATTGTGAACACTCGCGAAGAAAATAATGGGTATGATGCTAACAATAAGGATCATAGGACATCGACAGGTCGCTATTTTGACAAGAGCAGATTTTTAAGTATATTTACATGGAATTCGGAATTATAAATATAACATACAAGGATTAACAAATGTTATTATTTGGATATTTTGTAAAATAGGATTAATAATCAGGCATGCAGCGAGAGTATAAAAGAATTTTAAAGCAGAATTGACGTTTCTTTTGAAAAAAGTCTTTATTAATGAATATTGAAATTTTTCTTCCTTTAATTTGTTGAATTAATTTTTAATATTTTATACAAATATTTTTAGGTAAAGGTGTTTTAATGTTATGACAATAGCAAATTGGTCACCCTGTATATCGTTTTATATTGCTCGAAACGTCGAGTTTACAGTGTTATATCTGAACCAGTAGTTTATAACATGATCCCTACTATGTATTATCGATTCTCGTTCAGTTCTATGTTATAAATGTATATTAGGTTGTACCAAAAGTTTATTTCGTTTTATAAGGAAATAATTGACGCACGATATTTTTAATTTTGTGTAATTTTATTGAATTATATATGACCCATTTTGTTTTACTACTATATCTATTATTTCCTTATAAAACGAAAGAAACTTTTGGAACTACCTAATACTTGAAATTTGATTTGCGTAACAATGAATATTACGTATGTTAAGCTTTAAAGATTTGTAATATAGGGAACAATAGAACAATAGTTCTTATCGACAAGTTTATGCGTTACAAGCGATGGTACTCACCTTTATTGTGGTAAGCAACAACAGCGAGTAGACCATTAACGTCGTGGACATTATCGTTTTTCACGAATAGTTGCGTTACTATGTTCTTGGTTAGCCTAGAGAAAAGGCCAATGTTTGATCCAAATACGCTTTTGTTTGAAATTTTATTAAGATAATCTTTATCATAAGACAGCGTGACATTGTGTTGGTAGGTATGAATTTGAAAGATAATGAAAGAAGCGTCGGAGGAAATGTTGGTTATATTAAATGTTGCATTGCTACTGGCTTTGATAGATACTTGTCTCATGTATGGCACAGAATCATGAAGATTAGTTAAATTCACCTGTAACACACTTCCATCTGTAAAATGTATCATACATTATATTTACATTTCTTCACTAGTTCTTCGTAGCAATGATTTGTTATGTTACGTTGAAACAATTCTATAGAATCCTATTTCCAAGAGAAACAAATTATAATATTATTCTGATTTAGGTTTTGTTTCTACATATGATGAATAGAAGCTCATTTCTCTAGCAATAGTTTTGATATTCTTACGTGTTTTGCTTATATCAGATAGCAATTGGGATGACAAAAACTTTTGTGTATATCTATTAGTGAAATTAGTACAATATCATATAAATGCTAAACAAGCTTGTTGGTCATATCGATATATATATATGTATGTGTGTGTGTATGTGTGTTTGATTATTAAGCAAATGTTTTTTCAAAAACTATAATGGTTTGATTATCTCTAAGTATAACTGTATTTATCACTTTCTAAACATAAGTATACTTAGTTTCTTATCGCATTGTATTGATGAAAGATGATAAATATATCTAAAATATTCAGCTACATTTAAAAATAAACATGATAGTATAAAAATTAGAGTAAATGTATGCAAAAAGTATCTCCAAGTAAAAATACTTTTATTAAAATCTCACTTTCATTCTTCTTTCTTACTTCAACTCTTTTATCTTATCTTACATTTACAATTTCTATTCTTTTATTTGTATATACTATTATTCACATATTGTTCTATCTTATTGTTCTATTTAAATAATTTTACACGATAAATAGAAAGTACAATTAAAAAACAATCTTTAACAACTTAATCTATACACACAACATACTTTTTAACTAACTTAACTTATTCCATTATAGTTTCGTATCTCCCCCCGACAACAAAAAATTTAATATTCCAGATAAGTATTATTAATAACCCCGTATTTACATCAACATAAAAGGTTATGCTGTACGAAAACAATCTAAAATTCCTTTATCTCTAAATGTCCTGTTTACCGAGGAATATAAACACGATCGACGAAATTAATTCGTTTCATGTTTGAAATCGTTTTAACAGCGTTTAACGATGAAAGTTTTCAGCCAGCTGAAGAATTACGTACGAAAAAGATCATCAAGACGCGCTATTGTACTTTGAGGTTATGTGTGCTTACCAGTGAGAGATAGTGTATCTGATGGTTTTTCCCTAGCTAAGCTGCCAATGGTGAGTAACAGAAAGATTAACAGCTCTCCGACAAAAGTGCGGTTCATGTCGATCAGAGTTACGAGCCGCGTGACACACTTATTCGATTAAATTGCCGCAAAGCCGAGTCGGCGTGAAGCCACGGAAAATCAGTACGGCGCAACAGCTGGTACTTGACAGTCGGCTACATGCCTGAGCACGGTATACTTCGAGTCTCGGCTACCGTCGTTCTATCTTGCTCTCGAATAGCCAATCATAGTCTGCCCGAGTACTCTCTTCTCTCTCGCGCTACCGTGTGTCGCGGTTATTTCGCGAAGTGACCGCAAGGTGGCGACGCAGTCGGCCCAAGATGGCCACGCTGGATCAATGAAACGCGAGTAATCATAGTAAAAACAGAAATTGACAAGTGTGCAAGTGAACACCAGACTTTGATTACAGTGTAAATGGACCATGGGGAAGGACCAGGAGCTGCTGGAGGCAGCGAGAAGCGGAAATGTCACCGTGGTCGAGAAGATTTTGGGTCAACGAGCGAAGAGGAGTGGTCCACTGGCAAGGTGGGTGTCACCGTACCAGACTTTGCTTTTCCTTGCTTCTTTTCCCGTTTATGCATTCTATAACGTGTTTTACGCGATACCTTTGATTTCGTATACACCGTATTGCCCCAATTATATGAAAAATTGCCCCGATGTCTGTCAATTCATCGAGAGATTAGTGTTACGTGTCCACGTTCTTTTCGAATTGCAGCTACTGATCATTCGTGCTTCGATGATGAAGTGTTTATACGGTATTGACTGTACATCCGATTGTTTCCTTTCATCTGATCCTTCGAGCACTTCCGTGTTTGCTCAATTAATTGAGTACAGATAACTGTGTTTTTGGCATAAACGGATGTGGACGAGTCATTACTCGTACCGGTACCTGCGTTAAATTACCTACGCTCGATTGATCGCTGCATTTTTCCAATTAATTCCGACAGTTTGCCAGAGAGAAACTCGTGGAGCGTGTCCCGCCGTTTGTACCGTTAATACCGGGAATCTGTTCCGTTCGATAGTTTTCATATTAATTAAGCGAACGAACCTTATTGCAACCAACGGTGCTGTATTGTTATTATTATCTTTTTCCCCTTCCTCTTTTTTCATTTTTTTTAACATTGTAATTATCCTCTACACGTCTTTCACCGATAGTGTGATATATTTTTAATAGACGACCAATTTCGTGTCTCATGGTCCGTAATTGGAATCACTGTGCGTGTTTTATAAAAACTGCAATAGCCGTCGTTCGAATACGAATTCCCGTATCCTCCGGGCTACCTTTTTACCGCGCAACGCTTAATAATCCAGCATTTTCCCTATAACATATTATACAATCGCCGCGTGGAACTAAACGCGGGCATCATAATTTTACCGAGCGTAATCAGTTTTGCTCTGAATATCTGTAGAGTAGAATAATGCTCCCGTATGCGCGTGTTACCCACGTTATTGTCCAGTGATTATTCATGATTTCACCGTGACCATGAATCACCCTGCCGACGCGTTTGCTGTGTGTACGACGATACATGCCAAGATGCGTTACGATATGGACGCACAACCCTGAGTTCACTATCAATTATTAAAATTCGTATCGAACGTTTTAGCGGCTAGATACGCAATTCCTTTAACGTTCCATTTAAGGAGAGCTTGTTGTTACTTTACGCGGTAACAGTTAATTAAATTAACGAGTTAAAACCGACGAGAAAACGAAAGATCGATCTGTGCTTCTGAGTCTGGAAGTACGTGACTACGTTTCCTCGCGACTTATCGGATCCTGCTACTTTCTATTTATGGGAGCAGATAAACAGGCTTATTTGGGTACTCATTTATTTTCAAGGGTCAATGATAACCTCGTCGCGATAGATCGGTGAAGATGGCGCGACTGAGCTCGAATATTTTTGTCCTTATTCTGTGATGTCTAAGGAAATAACCTTTGTGAACCTTGCTCCGTGGTTGCGTTAATTGGATTTAGAAATTAATAGGGGATATACTGAAAAAGCAACATGGAAAACTGCTTTTCTAATATTAGACAGTTATGTTAGATAAATATTCGAAAAAACAATCTGTGCAGTCGACAGTAGATAAAATAAAGCAAAAAAGAGCTTATATTAGATAAACAAGTACAGATAATGGTATATATGGTATATATGTGTTTGTGAAGGAATGTGAACGTTTAAAAAATTAATAATTTGAACTAGTAATATTATTTTGAATTATATTTCTGTAAATAGAACAGGTTGTAATATATTATATCAAATATATAATTCTATTTACACAAAATTTCCTAAACTCAAATAAATTTAATTTCTTTTATTATCGGTTTTGAAAAATATATATACGATTTTTCTACAATATAACGTTGGCAAGCATTTCTCTAAGAGACTAATGCGTTCCATGTACGTAATAACTGCTGCACGAGAACAGTGAGTCCCATGTTCATCTCGTTTCAGTGTAAAAAACAGTCGGTCTAATAACTTAGTCATCCTTCCTAGTTAGTCTGTCTCGGCTTAAAAAACCGGCAACTAAATAACCGTGCACGTGCTCGTAACTGCTAACAAACCAGTTCCACGTAACTCGCGAATTAATTCACCCAGGAATGTAATCGACTCGCTCGACAAATCACTGTCAACTTCTCTAATCGCGAGCTCTCCGTACTCAATCGAATTTGGAATCGTAATAGATTCCTTTGCCCGACCCGATACCCGATCGACGGGTCGAAGCAGATCAATGAGTAGGGGGCGCGATTAATCGAAACGATCGGTCGGCGCGGCGGTCTGTATTGACCCAGTGCCGCGAACTTCTCGACAAAGACGACTTTGTCGATGCTTCTCGCGCACGCTTTCATTAATTAAGTCACGTTGGCTACGGGACGAGAGAAACCACCGTTTGTTTTCGAGAGGTCTCTGCCGCGTGCTCCTGTAGAAGCAGGCGTGCGTGTTTCGAGTGCATTCACGCATTTTAACACCGATTGTCACGGAGCAAAAACCTTCCGGGGCGAAAGAGAAAGAGAAGGGTGTCGGTTCAGAGAGGGGATAGAGTGGAAAGGAATAGAAGGGAAGAAGCACTTCTCCCACTCTTTTTCTCTACGAGAGAAGACGCGGCGAATCGGGCGAGAAAAAGACAGAATGTCGGGATCAAGCTCAGAGTCCTAAATGTATCACGACGAAAGCGCTTCTCGGCTCCTCTTCTAACAAATTGCCCCTTTTGCTCGTCACCAGTCGCAGTCGTGCAACTTGTCCATAACTACAAAGCTCGCCCACGGCAACTTTCTCTACCAAAGCTCTTTACCCTTTCTCTCCTATAGTTTCTGTTCTCCTGCTTCATTTCGCCTCTCTTGTCTTCTTTTATCTTTTGTTCCCTCTCTGACGCTTCAAGAGATCACAGGAAAGCAATATAAAACGCGCTTGTGCATCCCGCGCGCGCGCTACTCCGCGATACCAGCGACACTCACGGGACAAACGAGAAACATTTTGCGATGCTAATCGTACCATTTATAGTGTACCGGTGCCCGCGAATGTGTTTATCTTTTGTTTGCACGGCGTGTTGGCTTTGGGTCGGGCAATAATTTTAATCACGGCCCCCGGAGGCCATGGGAAGGGCTTCCCTTCGATAGAAACATCGCCTTCGGCGACTTGGTCTCCCGCGAACCAGAACTTTTAACGTCATCGCCCGGCCGCGATAACTTCGCTTCTCTTTGATGTCTCTTGGGCACACCGTTGGCCCGCCTCGGAATCCCTGCCACCGAGAAACTTGCTTTTCAATTTATGACCGTGGATCTGATAAAGCCCCTTCGACGATTTCAAGGTAATAAAGATTTCAACGGTCTTGTTTTCATTTATTTCATCCCCAGGATGAATGTTAAGGCATTGAATTTAGGTTGAATTTTTAGCCATGCGTTTATGCTTCAAAAAACTCGTGCAATATAAAATATGAAAAATTTACATTCAAACGATATTGTGTCTTTGTCATGAGATTAACTTACTGAAATGTGATCTTTGAAAATCACCAATCAATCGAGGTTATTTTATTAAAATGTACTGAAACTCTATTTTCCAACTTTCCAACCTTCGAAAATTCCACTTCAAACTAATATCCATGTTATCTATTCTCTCTCTCTCTCTCTCGACTCACCATATAGGTCAATTTCTCAATTTTCTTGTACGTCGAACCTTGTAACCAGGTTATCCACGTCACGACATAAGGGCGGTTAATTCAAATTCGTCTAAGATCGTCTAAGATCTTCGTCTCTATTCATATCAGATTCGTTGTTGTCTTTCTAAAATCGTATCAAATTTTCGAATTACTGAAGAGAGAGTACTCGATTCTGTTACACTCGACCGATATCGTTGTAATGTTTTGTTCGTTCTCCACTCCTCCGGAAGGAGGAATCGGTGCGTTAAACGATCGACGAGGGGATAATTAGTCGACAGACAAGGCAGTCTCTCGCGACGAGGATATCTCCCTTGTATATTCGTTCCTATCATGGATCGATGGACGATCCTCCCTTTAAGAGACAGAGAAAGATATATAGAGAGACAGAGATCTACCGTTTTTCCCTTGAGGGGTGCGAAACTGCATAAAGTGCAAGTAGAAGAGAGTTTCCCCTCCCCGCTCTTTTTCTCTCACCTTTCCGAAGTGACACTTGGAGTGTTTGCGAGGAAGGACCTTTTCGCGACATCAGCACGTATCGTGGCCCCTCTTCCACATCGGAGGAATTTATCGATTGACGCTCTAACAGCCCTCGCGTGTCTTCACCCTCGCTACATTTTGGCCCCTGTGTCTACTGTTTCTCTCTTTATCGTCTGGCTTCTCTTCTTATTTCCTCTTCTGTGTCACATATGTACGGGCATTCCCTTTTACATTATTGCACCCTCGTTGTCTTGTCCATTGAATTCTTTTGTAATTCTCATTTCTTTTTCCTTAGTTTGGTGCGATCTATTTTTTTGCACTCGGTGTTCTTTTTCTTTATTATCGTGTCTCTTTGAAATTTTATTCTATGATACCTTCTTTGTGAAAGAATTTCTTTCTTTCTTTCTTATTTTATGATTTTTGTCAAGTGCCTTCTTTTCCTTTTTTCATTTCTTCTGTTCGTATATTTATTCTTTTTCTTTTTAGTTCGTACTTTTCGTTCATGTTTCAATCAGCCTCGGTCGATTCCCCCAGACTTCCTCCTCTGTACTCTCTTCTTCCGACTTGAAGGCGCGTTCACAGTCCCATCCGTGGAACCGAAAGGTAATAGAACTTCACTTATCCCTTGATATTACTCGGTCTCTGATTGTCGATTAGCGGGGAAAACTGCATAATTCAATGATATAGACCGCTCTTTCGTTTTAGCTGTTACTGTTCTTATTCATTAATTTTTTATAATCCCAGTTAATACAATCGTAATGATCCTATTATTAGTGCCTATCAATATTTTTTAAAAATAAGTTTACATTAGAAAAATTATCCTAATATCTTTTGTTTCTGATATCCTAAAATATTATTTACATTTTTTATGATAGCATTTTGCATTTTCAATCGCG